TTTGGTGTGCAGCACTCCTGCTGGGATGGGCTGGGAGCTATGCTGGAAGGACAACCCCTTTCATCTGTGGCCACAGGTATTCACTCACTGTCCAGGGCCCAGCATGGAGGGCTGGTCCCACTGACGAGCAGAGGGACCGTGTCATCGTCAGAGGGCCAGGCAGGTGGTAGCGCTGGGCAAGTCTGGCATGTGGTGGGTAGCAGGGCCCTGCCTGGCTCCTGTGCTGAGGTTTAGGGAAGAACCTGGGAACTAGGGTACTGGGAAGCTCTCAAGGCCAGGATTGGGATCCAGAAGAACACGGCAGAGAGCCAGCTCCAAGAACTGGACCGCGCCCCTCCCCTGGGCTCCTTCAGCAGCCTGGGCCTGCTCACCATATTGTAAGTGCGAGCCTGTTGTTGCCTCTGTTGCCCCCATCAGTGATGAGTCCTAGGGGCCAGGGCCATGCAGAGTGCTTGGCACATAGTAAGTGCTCAGTAAACATGTCCTGAACCAGCAGGGGACTCAAGGTAGAGTCCCCTGCACAGTGAATCTGAGCTCCTTGCTGAGAGCTGGCCTGCCCCTGAGCCTGGACCAGGATGTCCTGGACCTGCCCCTGAGAGGGGAAGGCTGAGGCCAGGCAGGCCCCAGCAGTCACAGTTCTCTGGATGGGTTGTTATTGTCACCATTTTTAGAGGGGTGAAAACCCAAGGGAATCCCTTTAGTTTAATCAGTAATTAGGTAAAAATAAAGTAGCACTTGTTTTAAGGGGCTGGGCAAATGTGTGGCTTGCTTCAGGGTTTGATCCGGTGCAAGTTGTCTTCCCCAGGGAACAATTTTCGCACAAGTTTCGCCACCCAGAGGAGTAATGTCACTTATGCCTCCCTCCTCGCTTCAAGTTGGAGCCCAGGGCCCCAGGGGTTCCTCTGTCACACAGTCTGGTGCCTGCAGGAGGAGAGGGAGGTCTGCAGGGCCTTCTGCAGGGTGGGACTGGGATAGACTGGGACTGTTGTATTACAAAGCCCTGGACAAACAGGATCATTGTTACAATCTCTGTCCCTACATCTCAGCCCATTGGCCACTCAGGTGACAAAGAGGTGGATCCTGAACCCGAGCTCTAACTCTGCCAGTTCACGTCTGCTGGGAGTTTTAATCCCAGCTCGAGTGTCCACCGCAAGCTTCCCTTTCAGACCTTCTCAGCTACCTCCCTTTTGCACTAAAAACAGAAGAATACAATTAAGTTTTCTTACGAGGGCATTTGTGATAAGGCAGATGAGATGCACTAGGAAGGCGTGGCAGAGGTTGGCTACCTGCTCCTTAAACCCATTTCCTCTTATCCTTGGGAGAGCCTTGGCCGCTTGTCCCAGCATGCTTTGCAGTTGGGTGTGTCCTTGTGGTCGCCGGCTAGCCAAAGAAGGGGAGTGATGCAGGCGGCTCCCAAGACTAACGCTGGAATCCTCCCATGGATCCCCCGTGACCACCATGCAGAAAACACAGTTGAGAGCCAGCTCAACTGTAGGGGTTGGGGGTGCTGACCCCCTGCTCAGTTTTCAATCCACATATAACTTGTGACTCCCCAAAACATAACTGCTAATAGCCTACTGTTGACAGGAAGCCTCACAGGTAACAAAGTCAATAAACAGAAATTTTGTATGTTATGTGTATTATATACTGTATTCTTATAATAAAACTAGACAAAAGAAAATACTAAGAATATCATAAGGAAAATACGTTTATAGTGCTGTACGTATTTATTGAAAAAAATCCACATGTAAGTGACCAGTGCAGTTCAAACCCGTGTTGTTCAAGGGTCAACTATAATCTCCCAACAAGGGCCATCCTAGAGGATGTGCTCAGTTTTATCGCTTCCATGATAAACAGGCGTTCGGAGGTGTCAGAGGTAGAGGGAAGGCTGTTAGGGGCTAGGACAGCATGTGTAGAGGGCCTTCGAGCAGAGGCCAAAAGAGCCAGGAGTATAGCCGCCGTCCTCTATTTGGACTCCACGCAAAGAGGTAAAGGGACACAGGCCAAGTGAAGCGGCCCAGGAGCCCCATTTGGCAGGAGCAGGGGAGCCTCTGATCGTTGGTGGCTCTTTATCGCACTCGGCAGGCGGCTCTCGCTGCTGGCTGTGGGAGTGGGAACAGGTTCCCCCAGGTCCTGCGAGGCCCTGGCAAACATGCCCCTGTCTGTGAACGCACAGGAGGAAAAAGCCTGCAGTCCTCACAGAATGCGTTCGCTCTGACTTTTCACTAACTGTTAGGTGTATTGAATTAGCTGGAGATTTACGTTCATCGGTTCAGAACATTACGTTTTGTTCCTGAAATAGAGGTACTAGACGTTCCCATGGTAGAAACCGGATAATCTTTCCACAGAAACAATGTAATAGGATTATGATCCTAGCCAAGGTTGGACACACTATTTATAGCGATGATCAGAAATTGCATAGTAACCAACGTGTCAATGAGCAAAGGTAACCTCAACGAGCAAAGGTAACCGTCCTGAGGGCGGCAAAGCTTCCGGAGGTGTCTATGGATCAGTCAAGGGGAACAATGAAGTCACCAATCGCATTAAGTCTCTGAAATGTGTATGTGAGAAGTTCTGGGGTAGGAACCAGCGAGCCCCTCTGGCTGAGGACAGCACCCGACTGTGGAGTGTTGCCAGGGTGTTGTGAGAGCCAGTCACCTGGGTCTGGAGTGGAGACCACAGCCATCAGGATTCAGACACCTTGATGAAATATTCTGCCCGAGTCCAAGGCCTTTAGATCACAGGGCCACTCGGTGCTGAAAGAGTCCCCGTAGCATGGATGACACTCACGTTTTCTGGGGGCCCATATGCGGCTGAGCCTGGGCTTCATCATAGGCCAGATCCCGGGATTTTGTACCCCTGGAATCACAAGAGACCAAACTCAGAGGCCCAAGGCCATATTAAAATCCCCTCTTTCCCGCCAGACTTTCCACACATTACTGTCTTCAGGAAGCTGAAAAACCAGGACCCTTGTAAAGAAAAGGAAATCCAAATGACGTCAACTTGGAGAAGAGGCTCGTGTGGCAGCTTTTCTCTCTCTTTCTGCTGTGAATGCTCTTTTTTCACCAAACTCCAGCGGAACCCGGGTGGGCTGTATGCTCCTGGCCCCCCCACCAGCGGGTGTTGCCGTGGACAGGGGCTAGAAAGAATGGAGCTGGCAGCCTTCGGGGAGGCCGGCCTGCGGCTTGCAGGGAACAGAGCTGTGCCACAGCAGCACCCGACGTCACGGGCCCACCTAGGGCTTCATGCAGCGGCGAGACCTCGAGTGGAGAAAACAATGTGCGACTCCTTGACTTGGGTTTGTCAAACGGATTTCCTCAGCCCTTCCCGCGTATCGATGACAACAGTGACATACTGGGAGCGTGGATAGTGAACGCTGTGAGCAGGCACACGCCTGGAGCTGCGGGTCTTGTTAAATTTCTGTCCAAACAGTGATGATTTTATATGTATCACTTACAGAGCAGTTTCACAATGAGACCCTGATTTCTTTTAAGACCCAGTTTGCTGATGGATAGGCCCGTGGGCTCCTGTCATCTGCTCGGCTAGGAGGGGGCTCACTGAACAGCTGCTCAGCTCGGCCAAGCAAAGGAAACGTCGCCGCCGGTGCAGGGAGACCTCCAGCCACCGCGAGGAGGAGACGGTGCGCACGTTCACAGGGCCGTAACTGTGGAGATGGAGTCAGTCATTTTCACTGGAGTTTCATGCTCAGGCCTGTAGGGTGTTTTGAAACCTGCATGGGTGTGGGGTGGTGCTGGGAAGCTCCCCCTCCGCTCCCCACGCGCACGCACTAAACAGAGTGACAGTCACATCCTCCTTTGGTTGTGACAGAGCAAGGTCAAGAGCTGTCACCAGGTTGGGGGCTGCGAAATAACCCCCAGGAAAGGCCACGGGCAGCTCCCCAGGAAGTTCTCGTGCTCGCGGCCTCTGGGAAGGACAGGCGCACGCAGGGCTGGAACGGAGGCGGGTGTGAGGAGTCATTACCGGGGGCGGGGGCGGGCGCGGGCTTCACCTACAGTTTGCGTCGGTTCCTGTGTGCCTGTGCCGACTGTCCTCGATTCCCAAGGTGGCCTTTTCGGGAGCAACTAGTATTTGAAATGACAGGGAAGAAGGAAGTGGACTGCCCAGGGATGAGAGAAAAGAGAAATTAGGCTTCTAACCCAGGTCCTGAGTGATTCTAGCTCCTGTGGGAGGTCATGTCCCTTTGACTCTTGAAGCACAAATTACAGCTACTCTCAGAATGGCCTTTTCTTTAGTATTTGTACCCCCGTCCCACCCCCAGAGGCTTCTCACCTTTAGCATTGTCCCCAGGTGGCTCTTGCCACAACCTTCTCCCAGGATGATAGAGGAAGCAGGAGAAGAGACTGAGGTGGCGGGGGGAGGGGACAGGGCTAGCCATGCCATCAGCCAGGGAATCAGAAATCATCCTGCCAGGACTGGAGGCCCCGTCAGGACCCCCACAGTACAGAAAGACCCAGCTTAGCATGGTACCTGCTCCTTGAACCAGAGAGCCTTCTCAACCCAAGACGGTCTCTGGCCCAAGGAAGGGTCCGTCCATGTCAGGAGGGTGTGGCGGAGGGAACTGCGTGGGCTCAGGGAAGCCCGTTGTCCTGGCAGACATCTCCTCCTGGCCCATTCAGCAGGGAGACGAGCCTGCTGGGGAGCAGCCGGCAGTTCTTGCTTCTCCTGAGGTGTGCCTTGGGCTTCGGCCAGAGCAGGCACGGTCCCTCAGGGTGGACTTTGCAGGACCCTGTCCCCAGACGGTGGCTTTGGAACCTGACCTGAGTGCCTCATCTCAGTGGCCAAGGCGCTCCAAGCTCAAAGCTGTGGTGACACGCCAGGCTGGCATGTGAGTCCTGGGCATTGTGACCTCAGATGCTCCACACACAAAGAGGTGGTCACTCACTCTGCCCTCCCCTTGGCCTGTAATCTGCATAGGCCAGTGGCCTGGTCACAGAGCCCATCGTGGGGAGGTTGGGAAAAGAACACTGGCCTCCTCCATCATGTCGGCCAAGAGGGCAGAACTGAAGAAAACAAACCTGGTAAAGGAGAGAGAGCTGGGCCATGTGGGGCTTCTGAGCCCCCACTGGACAGAGATGGGGTGGGCGGGGTACAGAGACCGCCCTGATGAAAGCTTGGCTTCTCTTTCTCTGTTCTGAGCACGAAGTAGCCTCTCAGCCTGGAAGGAGGGCGGGATTGATTCCTGGCCTTGGGCTGGGAAGGGAAAAAGGCTCTGCTGACTCCCTCGGGAACACACAGTACCGAACCGCACCCCCAACCACTCCCAGGGCTGTGACCCCGCACGGGGCCCGCATCTAATGGGCATGTCTAAGGTGTATACTAACTTTATTATATAAATGATTATTACTCCCACTATACAGATGAGGAAATGGAGGCCAGAGAGACTAAATAACTTGCCCAAGTTGACATGGCCAGTAGGGCAGACAGCTGAGGTTAGGACCTGAGTCTGTGCTCCTCAAATTGTACTTATATGGCTTCCTTAGAGTTACCATAAAGTGCTCCCCCGCCCCGGCACCCCCAGCAGGGAGAGGGCTGCCTGCTGAGTGGGCAGGCGGATGCTCATGGGAGATGTGTAACTGCAAGACAAAATCAGGTGCTGGGGGACATGTAGGCCCGGGCTCAAGCACAGATGGATGGGCAGGGCCGGGTGGGGGGTACTCCTGCGAGAGCCGGGGGCCGGCGTGGTAACCTCCTCTGTCTGGACGCCTGTCCTGAATTCCAATTGCCTCTCTACAGAACAAGAACTACAAGGCAGTTTGCCTGGAATTGAAGCCAGAGCCGATCAAAGTAAGAAGCTCCTTTGAGTCCATGCCGGCAGCCAGGCCTGAGAGCCATGGGGAGGTGACCTGGAGTCAGGGGTCATTTGCTGTTGCTGGTGGCCAAGACCTGTCCCAGGTGCTGGGGGTACATTAAGAGACAGATAAGCTCTCTGCTCTCATAGAACACCACACTAATAACTAATGGGCTAAATGCATAAATAAGAAAAAATTCAGTAGTGTGCTATGCAGAGAATTAAAGTAGGGAGACCTGATGGAGGTCTGTTGTAGATTGGGGGTCAGGAAAGGCCTCCCTTTGAGCCAAGATCTAAGGAGGAGACTCTGGCCACTCAAAGACTGAGAAGAGCACTGTGGGCTGAGGAAGCAGCTGTGCAGAGGCCCTGAGGCAGGGGTGAGCCTGGCGGTTCAGGGGCAGAGAGCTGAGGCCCAGTGGGTCAGGAGGGGAGTGGAATGAGATGAGCTCAGAGAGAATTGAAGGGTGGAGGGCACTGCTGTGCATGTGGGGCCACCAGCTCTCACCTGTCTACCCTGACCTGGAGGGAGGAACAGAAACTCGGGGTGATCTCTTCTGCCTTATCTACCCCACACCTGCAGATTTCCAATACCCTGTGTTTCTGGTTTCAATCAACAGACATATGACTACAAAGGAATTAAACCAGAAGGGCCATTTACCAAACCAAGAGGGACTCAGGAGCTAAAGGTGCGTGTATGAACCCAGGTGGCAGGGGTGGGATCACCCCAGTGAAGGGCAGGGGGAGGGAGAACGGGGGCCGCTAAACAACTTCCATGGGGTATAAACTTTGGGCATCAGGCCCGGTGACTCCATTCTCTCTGGTTCTTTTGGTTTGTTTCTTTTAACTCTTTATTGTGAAATAATTTCAGACTTTCAGAAAAGTTTCAAAAAATGCCATAATGAATTCTTGTATACCCTTCACCCAGATTCCCCAAATGTTGGCATTTTATCGTAGTTCTCTCTCTCTCATACATGTATGTATTCACACGTACACAATATATATGTTTCCTGAACCATATGAGAGCATGTTTCTCTAAAATTTCCTAAAAACAAGAACACTCTCTTACATGGCCGCAGTAAAATTATCCAAATCTCAAAATCAGAAAATTAGCATTGACACAATACTCATCTACAGCCCTTATTCTAATTTCAACAACACTCCCCAAATGTCTTTCATAACAAAAGAAAAAACAGCCTCTCTGTCTGGGACCCAACCTAGGATCGCCTGTCGCATCCAGGCTCCGTGTCTCTTTAGCCTCCTGTCATTCTTCAACCTCTGTCTCTTGGGACACTGACATTTTTGAGGATTATAGACCATTCGTTTTGTAGAACGAGCCTCATTTGTGGTTATCTGTACATTTTGGGGCAATCAAATCATGGAAGTTTCGGAGGCACCTGGTGCCTGGATGTCCCACTCCCCTGTGTTCTCAGTAGCACCCTTTCCTCCCTAATGGGAGGTGCGTCTCCCGCCCCTCCTCTGTCCACACCGCGGGGTCTTTCCTTTCCTCATGTGCAGTTTCTTTTCCATCTAAGACATTTCTTTATCCCCCCTTTCCCCAATTTTATGTCCTCAGAATGATCTCAGGGAGGTGAGGGAAGAGCTGAAGGAAAAAATGGAAGAGATAAAACAGGTAACAGGACGAGACCCCAGAGCTTGGA